TTCTAATGAGCTTCTTAGGAAATAACACATAATCATGGTAAGACTTTAACAATTTGAAGTTTAATGGAAAGAGTCATACTGACTGCATCTGTTAAATCATTAGAGGATATATTAGTTGATATGACTTAAAGGATGAAAAGACAGATGATGGGTTTACTATATGACAGTCTCTTGGTCATTTCCAGTAGTCTACAGATGTCATCTGAAGCTTTAATTAGAAAGTAACTTTATTCAAAGGAACCATAACTCTCACATTCAATGACTAGATTCAGCTTTTTCATGCAATCCCAGTCTCTGCAGGACACAAAAGCACTCAGAGCTATACTTCTTGCAATTAATCACCTATAGCTACAAGCTGAATAGCAATCTTTTGACTTAGTGTTATAGAAGGCTTCACAATAACATCCATACACAGTTTCTGTGTGAATATGCACACCTGTACACATAAATTACAGTCTGTGTATTCAAACATTCTCTCTCTGAAACACACATAGGTGGTTTTAGAATGTATTTTCTCTAGGCATACATATAGAAGAGTGGCAAGATTTGAAAGTAATACATGAATGGGTTGATCTAAGGGTTTATTGTTGCCACTAGGTTCTTTACAGAGCTACAGCCTCCTGCTTTCATCTTTCATGCCTTAAGCACAAGATTAATCTTTCTTTCTCAAACCAGCAGTATATTTTTTTAAAAAAAACCTTACTGTTCACTTAGCTTTAGTAACAATACGAATGTGCTTTGTGTTGACTTGTCTAGCTTGTGCAACCACCTCCACTTCCAGCATCCCAACATGGATTTAACCATGGGTTCAAACAAATTCTATACCAGGCAAGTATACCCACCTTTCTCCAGTTTCAAGGTGCGGAACTGCAAGTGTGCACTCCTGGACAGTGATCTGTGTGATCTTTCATGAAAAAATCAACTTATTCATATGCACAGTTGCTTTTAAAGTTGATACTAGTAGGTATTATGTCAGTACATAAAATATTTGGCTTTTCCTCTGCTGTAAAAGAAAGATGGCATCACTCTTTGTTATAAAACAAATTTCTGTGGTATATCTGAGCAACATCAAGGCAGTTAAACTCACTGAAGGAACCTTCTGAATTCTTCAGTAAAAATGTGTATTTATATGTATAAACCAGGTTGTAGGTCCACAGCGATTTGCAGTATACAGCAAGAAGTAAGAGAATGCTTATCTTATTGGAGGTACAGTTGTTTTCTTTTAAAAAAAAAAATAAATAAAAATAAAAATAGAAAAGGTAGAAGGGAGCCCTCAGGATAAAAACTGACTTCTGACAGCAAAAAAATATTAACAACATATGACATAAAATCTTTCTTCTTCAATGCTTCAGACCAACTAAATGTCAACCTGGAAACTCCCTGGCTCTGAGAAATGTGCTCAGAAAACGTTCCGTTGCTTTGAATGAGTCATTTGGCTCAAGAGAATCACACACAACTGGATTTCTTCCTCATGTTTGAAGTAACAGCTGCCAGATACAGGCAAAGGCCTTACTGTTGGTGTTACTCTAAAAAAAATATTCTAGATACTAGAATTACTCTAGCAAGAAAAAAGGTTTACCTGTTCCACAGTTTTTTCTAGATGTTAGAGATCACTCAATTTCTAAGAAAAAACACTTAACATAACATTACAACCTCCTGCTTCATTGCACAGGCAAAATACCTTAACACAATATAAAAGCTCCTTTACAAGGAAAAATTAAAAGATTAACTTTAAGTGATTGAACAATATCTATGGGAGGTGGGCAGGAACTGAGTATTCAGTCATCATTCAGTAAAGCCTTTCTCTTTCTAGACAATGATACAGAATGCCATGTTAAATTGAAAAGATTTGGCTAAGAACAATTCATAATTCCAGAATCTGGATTACGTTCTGCTCAGAGTTAAAACAAGCCACCATTCACTAATGGAGCCGGGGGGAAGGATGGAGGGAGCTGTGCATGGGGGGCAAAGAGGGAGAAAAGAAAAAAGAAAAGGTGTCTCTCAAGGGGAAAAAAAAATACAGAAAGAAGACAGAAAAAGAGAGAAAAACCAAGAGGCACACAGAATGACAAAGGATAAGCAGTTTATTTTTAATGTGCCCACAATCTGGAAAGGTGACGGAGTCAGAAAGCAGTGATCAGTTTCAAAATGGTCATGTCATAAAGCTGCTGCCAATGCTCCCTGCCAAGTTCAGTGGTTCAGTCCAAGAGAGGCGTACCAGAAGGAGATTGTTAGAGGTCTGCAATGACGACTTTTGCCTTTCAGCATTAATTTTGCCTGTCTGACTGTTGTCTTCTACAAAGAAAGACATCACAGTGAAATCACAAACTCACACATGGCATATATGGTTTTCCATGTACTCTACAAAAACATAACCAAATTATGTATTTCTAGCTTTGCATTGGACACCAGTTTGTCCACTTAAACCCAAAGCAACAAAATTTTCAGAAACGTTGACTATAAATCACCTGGTGCATGCCCATACAGCTGCTTTTCTTTGCAGATTATGAAAAACCTCTGGAGATCCTTTCAAAATTAAGTGTGCAATGTGTAGACTGCAACAATACTCAAGAGTTCCTGTATCTTACTGCACAGAAATGCACTGCAGTTGCTTAAAAACGCCATTTTTATTGCAAAATAAGTTACTCTTGTCCAGAACTGCTCAGAATTAAACTGCCCAAGTCAACACAAGTAGAAAAGGGTAAATCTGTTTTGTCTAGTGACTTCCTGCTAACAGCTATTTCCACCTGTAGTAGGTCCATCTCACGCATCCTCACACTTTCCCCTTTGTTTTTAGCAGGTTTAAGAGCTGATCTTCCAGAAATACATTTAATATGCAGAGGAAAGTAACTTCTTATAGATCACTCACAGATTTTTTTTCAATTCATATTTTTCTTATCATTTTCTTAGTACAGTAAGAATAAAGGGAATCATACCTAAGCTGAACTTTTAGCAGACTGAGTAGATGAGTACATTCACATCAGTAATTCTGTAATTCTCCTCTTTAACCACCTTGAAGTTATTTCTTTCCTTTTAGTAGTGGAAAAATGTAGGCATTCCCCTCTTTTTAAGATATTCTGGCTCAGAACCTGTGAATGAAGTACTGAGGGATAAGAATTCATCTGAGAAGAAAAATAACCTCCTCAAGAAAGGCAAGTGGTAGAAAAGCACTACATCCACACCACTCTTCCATCTTTCTTTCTTCAACAAACCCTATTTTTTACTGGGCCAGTTCCAGTTACATCAGTTTCACTCTATCTTTGTAATGTCATAACAATAACTTTGCATCACAAAATATTTATATGCCAGGGTACCACAAAGATGCAATTGCAGTTCTTAAGTATAAAAATATTATTCACTGTCACATGAATCCTGTGTCAAAACTGAAAGAAGCATTTCCTTCACTTATATTACTCAAAGACACAACTCTTCTTTTTTTTTTTACTTTGAAATATCCAAAAAAGAAGGGAAGAATTATTCAGTCCTAATAAATTACTCCTTTTCCCTTATTTAAATCAAGGTTGGTGGGTTTGTGGGTTGTTTTTTTTTGTTGTGTTTTTTTTTTTTTTTTTTTTTTTTCCATTAGCCCTGTGGAATATTTCATGCTTGGTTTCTATATAGTTATTAATAAACCTGCAGCAGCTGACTTATGTCCTCAAAATTTTTCCCCATGAAAATCAGTGTCTAGTGATTTGGGATCTGAAATTTGTCATAAAGTACCTAACATTTAATAGCAAATTTAAAGCAATAACAATGTAAATAACTATTGCTTCCAGTACTAAGAGAGTTGCCTTGTTTAGTGTTTTTTTTGTGACACAGACTGTTTCTCTGTTCCCAATCTGATAAAGTCTAACATAGGGCAGTTGTAAGCACTGGAGATTCCCCACGTTCACTTGTTAAAGGATGCAGTTGCTGCTTTTCCCATTAGCAGGTCAGTAGGGACACTGAGAACATTTCCCAAACAGACAAATATGTACAAGCACACAAAACCATCCACTGCTCAGGCCATCACAGGTAGAGCAGAGCCTTCCCCAGCATCACCTTAAATATCAACAGCACTGACATAAACAATAAGGGTAACCTTTATACTGATTTTTCGGCATAGTCCTTTTCAGCACGTACAGACTAGAGCAAGATCCACAGAAAACTAAGAAGAAGAGGATTTAGTAGAAAAAAGGTAGAGGTACCCTTAAGAAAAAATAGTATATTGGTGTTGTCATTCAAGCACACATATGACCCCACACAACTTCTGAGGAAAGAAGAATTGACTGATTCCTTATTTTGACACAAAATAATAAGTATAGACAGACTTTTTTCTTCACCTTTAGTCTGGGAATTGCTCCTGTGCATCTCCCTAGATAACTGTGCCTCCTGCCGTATGCCGTCTTAATTAGTTGCTCTGCTGCTGTTAAACATATCTTCCCCATTTAGATTGCACCCTCATGCCACTTAAAAAATTGACATTTAGTTTCACTGAAGAATAAGTTAGTTTTTAAACCAGTGTTTGAAGAAGAAAAAGAAAAAAAAGTTATCCAAAGGGCTTATTTAAGAAACACTAAAGTACTAAACACATGTTTGAAGGTGGAGGAATGTGCTTTTTAATTACTCTTTTACATTCTAGTACAGTTAATATTATTCCTAAAGTTCAGGTCATGACCTCAAAACATGCTCCCCTGAGCAACACATATTTTATCCGACTGCTTCCCCCACACTCACATACAGTAGTTTTATGTTCGTACATGCTGAAAACTCTCCTTCCCACTGTGGCTATCAGCAAAAAATTTTTTCAGGTGCACCGTGCGTATTGAAAAAGGATTGAGAGAAAACAGATCTAACATGTTAACATTAAAGAAAACAATAACACAAAAGTGATCAATTAGTTTGATTTATATGCAAATATGTTTCTAGAAAAAATAAGTTTTCTTCCAGCACAACTGCAGAGTGGTCCAAAAAGAAGGAAATATGCAGGAGGCTCAGCAGTGCTGTCCATATCTACAGGCCTATGGGAAGGAAGCTGAGTCCAGAATTCGGAAGTCGTAGAAAGGCTGATGTCTCATGAGGAGGCCATTGCTCATACCAGCCAACAGCTCTAAGATACTTAACAGAACACAGCACCAAGACACATAGAGCATGACAAAATGCAACCAGTCTTCCAGCTTCTTTAGATAGCCTTCCCAAAAAAGCTGCTCCGTATAGCCTAAGTCACCCCTGCAGCGAGAAGATTCTTCCTTACAGCAGGTTTCAGGGACATGAGCTTTTTCAGATGGAAGATACCAAGAAGTAGATGCTGCCTTTAGCCAGTCTGTGTACTTTTGAACCCGACAACACTGCAGCTTCCTCTGTATCACATCCACATCCCTGATGCCAGGACCCTGGGACTGTGTTCCATTGTACGGATACAAGAGGTAATCCATAGTGCTTTTCAGCTCAGAAGTCACCTGAATAGCATAGAATTGTGCCAGAATCGCTGAAGATACTTCTAGGCAAAGAAGGACCAGCAGCAAGTACATGAGAGCCCCTTGTCGATAGCGAGAGCTCTTAACAGAAATAGTGACAGCCAGAACTCCAGTAGGTACCAAGGTAAGTGCAGCTGCAACAGCCAGCCAGCCAGGGAGAGCCAAGAAATACTCCTGAAATAAACAACTGTTGGTTTTATACACCAGGATCACAGAAACTCCACCAAATGCCAGAGCTGCAGCAGTGCCCCAGAAAACAAAGCCTAGGAACCTCAGCAGAGATCGAGCAAAGGGTTTGATCCAGGAGTCTTCACAGTACCACAAAGGTGATGATGACACCACAAATCCTACTTTCTCCATTCTGTGAGTTCCAAAAGCCCAAACCCTCACCAGGGCCACTACTATTTAAGAAGACTCCACCCCACTTCCCCAGGTGCAGCAGATGACATCTCCACTGAAAAGCAGCTTGCAAGGGAGCAACACTGATGAGACTTCCTCAGCACAAGATTAACAATCACATGCTGCTGCTGTTTGTGTGTAGCCTGTGGAAATCAGGAGGGTATGTGCCAGGCTTAGTGTAGAAAGGTCATTTACTCTGCTGTCACGGGAGTCATTTGCATTTAAAGAAGGAGGACAGCTGAAAAAAAGCTGCACCCCTTGCTTTACTACATTTATATGTTAAAGAACTGAATGTACAGAAATAGTCAGGGTGGTACCCAGCAATGCTAATTCAGATCATGTAGACTGCCCAGGTGAAAGAGGTAATCCAACTATTAATCCTACCTTAATAGCCAAGAAGTCAACAAATGCACAAGTCAAAGTCATTAACAAAGGAATAGTTTAAGCAGAGTTATCCAGTTAGGAATCTCCGTAGGTAACACTCACTTAGTCTCATTATTCTTCCCAGTATGTTCACCACTCACTAGATTTTATGAGAAGCATAGTGATGTTAATAATATTTTGCCTTTTTTCACTCAGCAAGATTTCTGTACGGATAACTTCAGTTACTCAAGACTCCTGGATAAGAAATCCCTACCATTTCACACTTGTAGTTGTTTCACCCTAACTTGCATCACTGGTGATTTGACTGTGTGTTGCAATGACTGAATACAAACAGCAAGAACTGCATTAACTTTTCCTTGTGTGTAAAGAAACTGGATTACACACTAGCTAAAAGACTTCATAACAATCCCAAAGGGAATTATTAACACTTATCAGCCAGCAGAAGAGCATTATTACTCAAGCGTGATATAAAAGAGTCATGCAGGACTGGAAACGTGCGCAAAACTTGTCACAGCCACCAGGAAGGCAGACCCCAAGACCAACAGTGATTACCTAATCATCCTGACGACGTCGCAAAACATGCCTTCTGTGTCTCAGGACGCAGAGCAGAACTAATACAACTGGTGTACATAAGGCAAAATACAGACAAATTATCCTCATTTTCAGAAACATAAGCACCTGCAGACCCTGCAGAAAATCAAAGTCAGTGTTCAGATCTCTGGAACCCTGGAAAAGTCTCAGCAAAGCTGACAATTCCACATCTGCCAGACATTTTACAAGGACCAATTGCTGTTGTAGATGCTATGCATACACAGATGTTGGGCTGATTCCCGTCAAAATGTCTTTCTATGTGCTGTACAAACATATCATTATGGCTAATTATTTCAGAAGGAGATAAATTGCTTTTATTATTTTTAATCTTGCAATTAACAGTAATTAACATGCAGAGATTAATTTGTTAAATCTTAACCAAATGCTTCTTTCAGAGCTGTTTAGGATGTGTGTTTTCCTGCAACTGTTCTCTGAAGTTGATGTCTGCTCTCTCTCCTGTTCAGCTTGCTGTTACCCACAGCCCTCCAGCTGTTGGTTTTGCTGCCATTCACCTACTCTTCTCAATGCTTTTTTTCTCTGATTTCTGTGTTTTGCATCAGGGAGAGGAAGAAGGGGGGAACAGAGAAGATTTCCCCTCACATCTGCACACAGAGGCAAACCAAACTGTTTTAATGTTTCCATGCAGCGGAAGAAACCTATCAGAAAACTGTGAGGAAATATATCAAAAACATGTAAGAAAATACTGCAAGAAGTAACAGATGCATATTGCTAGTTTGGAATATTTGTGAAAAAAGCACATGAGCTTTCATTTTTTACTTTCTGCCTCCCTCCATGCTTACAAAGCTTAAGGAGATATTAAGAAATGAGTTAAAACACTATTTATTTTCAGCTTATTCTGCAGCCTCTCAAATAAATTAGAAAAGCTCAAACTGCCTACAGGGGAATTTTACTGCACCTCTTGTTCATTTCAGCCAGGGTATCTACCATCCCCTCCCTGAATAAAATGGAGAGAATTTCAATGGTTATTGAAGCCTAAGGATTCTTACCTTTCTAAGTATTCCCCAAATATAATAACTTCCCACTTACTTAAATCTGACTCTCTGGACTGCTGTGAGGGTTTGTGTTTTTTTTTATTTCTTTCATATGGCTGTGGGACAGAGAGGGGAAAACAGAGAGGCTAAGCGACTTTTGCAGGTGGAGGGGTTTGTGTTGTTTCAGGCTCTAACCCTTCCACTGGTGCCTTCGTGCTGGCTTAGCCCTGCACAGATTGCTGTGAGCCAGCTTGCAGGAGCAGGGAGCCATCTGCACACAGTTGCCACCTGAAACTGGGTCTTCCATGGCAGTGCAAGCAGGCAGGAGAACCTACATGCCTGCCTGTCTGTTACAGAAATCAGAAGCACCAAGAGTAACTGTTGAGTGGGAACCAGTTCCCAGGTAAGAACTCCCAGTGCCCAGTGCCATCCACAAGGATGGAGCATACTCATCACCACGGAAGAAGAAATTGCTGCAGTGGGGATTTATATTGGCAGGGCTGTCTAAAACCCCTTACCAACTTTGTGCTAGGCAATGCATATGCACTTAGGAAAAGAGAGCTTCTTCTCAAAATGTTTACTGTTTTGTAAGACAAACAAGACAAAGACAGACAAGAGAAAGATAGAACTCTGGACCCTGAGGTAACCAAAAGACCTAACTGACACCCTCAATAACATTGGGTTTGTGCCAAGTAATTTTACCTGCGTGTGTAGCCAAAAGCTTGAGAAAAGAAATAAGTGAATCTGTCTATTGATGGACCGTAGTGTGAGAAAGAGAGTATAAGTAAGGCGGAATAGGAATGCTCCTCTGCTTCTCTATCCAGTGGTAAACAGCATAACAAGATAAATGCCGTCCCTGCTTTCTCTGGAGTTGTTTCTGCCTATGAATTGATGAGTATTGAAATTCAGATTTGGGTGTAGCAGATAATACATCTCAGATAAACTACTTTCTGAAATGTTGCTGAAAGTATAATCCCTCAAGTTAATAAAATGCCAGCTGAATATTTTCTGCCTTCGTTGCTCTAGCAAGCTGTGACTGACATTGAATGGCTGTGATGTGCCAGGAAGGTCAAAGAGGTTTGTTCCATGTGGATCCAGAGCAGGAGTGGAAAGCTGTCAAGTCAACATTGTTGTGCAAATGCAACATAGTTGGATGACTAGACTCGTTTTAAATGACATGGGCTGTCATACAGACTGATCGGGGAGCACATCTGATATCTTCCAGTAATGGGCAACAATTAAATCAAGAAGGCCAGCTAGTCTGCTCAGACTTCTGTGAGAAAGAAGAAACCAAAAAGTGACCATGGGATCAGGGCACAGTTAAACAAACCTCTCTTCTGGGTTTAATACAAACTTCATATAAAATGAGACAAGATTTCAAAGCCAGACCCTCAGCCATTGCATTCATTGTCACAGTGAAGCAGAAGAGCCATAAAGCTGCCTCACAAGAACATCTGGCATCTCCCCTGTAAACCTGTGCACACATGAAGCTATTGTATCTGGACCTCATATGTGAAGTTAAAGCACTTTGGAAGAGGTTTGACTGAAGGGTTTAGGACATTTTTGAAGGGTCTTGTTAGATTAACACACACCCTTATCATAGGACATGACTTTAAAACCTTACTAAAATGCAGAGGTTTTTATCAAATTCACTTACTCCAGATTTAGATTAATTTTCCCCCACCTCACCGATCCTCCTGAACCCTTCAGAGTGTGCAAGCTGGTGTGTGATCCAGCAGGGCTGGCAGATCAAGAAAAAGTAGTAAATGGGTGTCTTTGGTATAACTGCTTCCTTCCTAACCCAGTCTGTGGGCCCTGGCACTGTTTCTTTCTCTGGCTGAAGAGACTTCACATGCAATTTTTTTTCATTTCCAAGAAAAGCCTTGGGTTCATGAAAAGTGAGGGCAAATAAAGAGTAATATTTGGTGGAGGAAAAAAAAAAATTCTTCTTAATCAGATCATTCAAGCTATGATGGGTAATCAAAACACTGCACAGGAGAACATCTGGGCACCAAGCAGAAAGCTGTTTTTAAAAAATACTGAAAGCTGCTAAGTCTATTGGCTCTTTGGGAATAAAACCCATTATCTTATGAGACACGTCATATTACAAGATCACTTTGACAGCCCAAATGCCCAAAGGATGAACAAGCCCAGTTGGATCCAATCCTACAGTTGCTACCATGCACAACTGGTTGCTGTAGCAACCAAGGTCAGCTGCTGTTGCCTTGCATAAGACTAACCCCTCTGGAAAGCTTGAAGCAAAGGACATATGATTGCCATTTCCTATTCATGGAGAAAATGTACTCTCCAAAAACAGTGATTTACTATTTCACAGGTGTTTCAACTAAAGCCAGTCAGATGTTTGCCTCTGACTGTGTTTGGCTGACCAAAAGTGGCCTTTTTTGTGATTGAAAAAACACATCAAATATTTTCAGAGTTTTTGTTTAGTTTTGATTTTAACATTACAGGTTTCTGTTCGTATTGAAAATATTGAAAATCAAATATCAAAAGTTCAGTGTTTTCATGTATTTCCCTCTTTTTTTCTTTTATGCATTGAAGACAAGAAAAAAATTGCAACCTTTTGTTATTCTTGTTAATTTTTTTCCACTCCTATTTTTATTTGCCAGTCTGGAATTGTTATAAAATATCTTGGAACTGGGATTAATACAGAATATCAAAAGAAGGAAGAAAGAAGGAAAGGAAGGAAAGGAAGGAAAGGAAGGGAAGGAAGGGAAGGAAAGGAAGGAAGGAAGGAAGGAAGGAAGGAAGGAAGGAAGGAAGGAAGGAAGGAAGGAAGGAAGGAAGGAAGGAAGGAAAGCACAAACACTGAACACCACCACTTTTGGTACTTCCACCATTTTGGAATTTCAGAATTTGGAGAAGATTTTAGAAGACAAAGAATGGGAAAACAAACAAACAAACAAACACACTAAAATTCGACCTTTTCCCCTAGTTAAAGTCACAAACAGCCTGACCCGGTGCCCCTTCGGTACC